CTCTTGTTGCCAGAGCTGGAGTGCAATGCCGAGATCTCAGCTCACTGCAACCTCCACCTTCAGGGTTCAAGCGATTCGCCTGCCTCAGCCTTCCCAGTAGCTGGGATTACAGGCACCCGCCACCATGCCTGGCTAATTTTTGTATTTTTAGTAGAGACTGGGTTTCACCATGTTGGTCAGGTTGATCTCGAACTCCTGACCTTGTGATTCGCCCACCTCAGCCTCTCAAAGTGCTGAGATTACAGGCATGAGCCACTGCGCTCGGTCTGTGACTTTTTACTAATATTCAGATCAAGATAAAGAACATCATTTGATTTTTAAAGGCATTTCTACTTTCGAATATCTCTTAAATCACTTCCTACCTTTTAACCTCCACCCTCACCCCACTGCGGAGTCTAGTCAGTCTCTCCCTCACTTTCTTTCCCCAGTGCCTGGCTCATGGCAAACACTCAAATATTTGAAAGAATGAATCAACAAACAAATATTATTGAATGAATGAGACCCAAATTGGAAGGAAATGGAGGTCTGTAAGGTTGTGCCCAGACTGTTTTGGGTAAATTATTCAACATTACCTGCATCGGCCTCCAAAGTTAAAGGGTATCTAGCAGGAATTTAGAGGTAAGGTTTTTTTGTTTTTTGGTTTTTTTTCCGCTATACAGCAAAGTTTCAAAGGGTGGTTAAGGGCACAGAAAATTTGAGCCTCAGGCGGTGTCCTGCTCATCCCCCCTACAACCCACACCCAGGCCTAGCTGGCCCCACCCCCGCCAATCTTTGCAGTCCTGCAAAGCGCCCCGCCCGGCTGCGGTCCAGCCAGCGGGGAGCCATCCATCACCGCCTGGATGCCAGCCAACCCGACGAGCCCCGCCTTCCTGCCAGCCAATAGCTGGAAGGCAGGGGGCGTGCGAGGCTCTAAGTGGTATAAAGGGGATCCCAGGGCCAGGCCGCGCTACCTCTGCGCCGCGGGTTGGGTCTGCGTGTCGCTGGCGTCCTATTCCGCGCCAGAGCCCAGGGGCCGGTGTTTCTGTGCGTGCCGTCTGGCTGGGCCCTGGCTCCTGGGTTCTGGGTTTCAGACGTGTCCTGGTGCCCATTCTGCTGGAGGAAAGAAGAGGCCCCGAGGCCCCCTTCCTTTATACACTTGGGGTCGGCAGGATCGCCCACGAGGGCAAGGGGGTGGAGGAATGCAGAAAGATGCAGAGGGACCCTGGGGATGGCAGGAGACTGGAAGGCAGGCCCTGGCTGCCCTCCCACCCGGAACCGCCGGCCGCCCTTCCTGAAAATCAGTCCCCCGCGCTCCCCTCCGCGCCCGCCGACTCCGGCCTGTGGCAGCGCTAATGAGGCCGTCTGGAGGAAGCCGGTGCCAGAGGGCAGGACTCTGGGCGGCAGGCCAGGCTCGTCATCCTGGCGGCTCTGCTGGGCTGCGGGCGCCACGTGGGAGCTGGGGGCACAGCAGCCGGCGGCCCTCCACCCCCAGCGGGGTCTCTGCCTCAGCCCTCAGAAAGCTGGGCCTGCAAACTCGGGGTCCTCGGGAAGGGACAGCGCCCTTCCCTGCCGGCCCTCCCGGCTCCTCTGGCAGTGCTGCGCAGCCCGCTCTACGCTGTCCTCTCCGCTGCGGCGTGGGTCCGTCGGCTGCTTCGGAGCAGCGCCGCTCCCAGCAATCCCTCAGCCATCGCAGACGAGGACACCTTTCTGGTCGCCTCTCGTCATTGCCATGCCCCCTCAGCTCCTTCCTTTTAACCCAGTACGGTTCCTGTGTGAGCCAGGGGTTCGGATGGGCCTAGGGCAGGGATGCGCGAGAAAGCCACCTGTCCCCAGCAGTTCCCCAGTCCGGAGCCCCGCTCTGCGGAAACTGCACCAAACACTTCAACTCACTGAGCCTCGGTGTTCCCCTCCGTAAAATGGGGAGAGCATGGCGTAATTCACAGGATTCGGTGAGCTAGTTTGTGTGAAGTGCCCGGCGCCTGCCTGTCCCTTTCCATTCCCGTCCCTGCTACTTTGGAATGGCAGGGCCGAGGCAGGCGCGACCGCGTTGCTAGGAAGCGCATTTCCCAGTCCCTCCTTGCGGTCGCTTAAGGGTGGTGGAGGGAGCCAAGCCCTGGGTGTGGCCGCGTATTTGCCAAAATATTTCTAGAAAATGTCTCCTTTCTTGTCGCCATAGTAGCCCCTGAACTCCACGGAATTTAACCGAATACTCTTTTTTCCTCCCCTTCCAAGAGTTGCCATTTTGCATTATTTACTCGGATGGGTTATGCACCCAGCGCTTATAATGTAAATGTTTACATAACTGTATCATTTTCTCTAATTGTAGAAGTAGTCAAGCCCGTTATAAATGTTCAATCTTAAACAGTTTTATAATGTAGGACTTGAAAACCGCAGGGATAACTTCTATTAACGTCCACGTCTCGCCACTTTCCCTCCCTCGCTGAAATTCCTGTGCCCACGCTGGCGCGGAACTAGCAGGATGGGTCACGCGTGCAGGTTGCTAGGGCAACGTCCTGTCGCCGGTGTCGGAAACCAACGAGTAACGCCCAGGAGCTGGAGTCTGGCCCGCCCTGGGGGCGGAGTTAGTCAGCGGGGCGGCCCAGCCGGGAGCGCGTTTCCCGCCTGTCCCTGCAGGTGGCACTATAAGATCGCGGATGCTTTCCTGGGGCGGGGCTTCCCACAGTGCTCAGCGCACGCGAGGGGCGGGGCCGGGGTGGAGAGTGAGCCACCAGCTGCAGTCCGCAAAGGATCGAGGGAAACGAGCTGTCCCGGGACGCAACGCTAGACAGGCTCAGGGATGCATTTACAGGGACGCAGAAAGTGTACGCGTCAGAGAGTGGAAGGGAGAAAACAGAGGTTCTGGGACGGCGACAGAGAAGGGAAGTCGTGTCGCCCAGAAAGGCTATACAATCTCCACCCTTCCCTTTTGTCCCTGGGACACCCTTCCACCCTCCTCTCCCTCCCTACCTGCAATTCTTCACACCCTCTGCAGCGCACAGGGTGCTCAGGACACGTGCACGGTGGGGGGTGGCGATGCTTCCTTGCCCCCACCACCCGCAAGCTTGCAGAGAGCTGTAGTGCCCAGGGTGTATGCCAGGATGAAATTCCACGGTTTCAGGTATGCCAAGAAAAACAGCCATGCTGTTTCTCGGTTTGTTCAGAGGAAGCCTTACTCCCTTCCCTTCTGGAGGCTGGGAATGGAAAAAATGACTCAAGGAATCCCCAGCGGAGCTGCCATATCTGTACTGCATCGCAAAATAGGGGTACCATCCTTTGCTCTCCCCTACCTGGCAGTATGCGCCACACATGGGGCTGCGTGGTATCAGCGTCGCACCCCCCTCCCCCTGGTGTTAAATAGTACCCTTTCCCTTGTCCCACATCTCTCCCCAGTCACACAACCACAGGGACATGCCCCACCGTGGTACTGGATATCCCCACGACGAGCCACAGGAAGTGCAGGGGCCCTTATCTGAAAACACACACACACACACACACACACACACACTTCCTAGGCCAAGAGAGAAGGAGACCCTTGGCAGAAGACAAAAGCAGGTTTATTAGGGCCCTGGGGCCAGGAATGCCTAAGGTATGAGTTAAGGCCAAGGCAGTGAGAAGAGGTGACTCTCCTGAGGCCAAACCTTTGCATCTCAGAATCCCTGGCTGGAGACCTTAGGAATCAGTTCCGGGAGGGACCTGGGGATGCAGAGGGGTCTCTCCTGACCGTGGGATCTCTGGGCTTTTGCCAGGATTGGGGAAATGGTCTGGGGGGCAGGGAGCCTTGAATCCACAGCCTTCATTTCAATAAGGACCATTTAATTTGTTCCTTGGCAGACTGAAGAACCTGGGGTGGGGTGGGGAGGTTGAGAGAGAATTGAGAATGTCAAATGCCTCCACATACAGTCATGGGGAGGTCCACAGCCCACCTTCCCTAAGCGCCCCTGCAACCCCCGGTCACTAGGTGGCAGCATCTTGTCTCCGCTTGGCTTAAACGCGGCCAACCCTTCAAGTCAGAAAGCGCAGAGGAAACCGGCTGCAGCCAGCTCCCACCTCAGGGCCAAGCCTGCCCAGACCTCTGGCTCCTGCATCTGCAGCGTGGGTGTGTCAGCAGCCTGTCTCCCCGCTGTCATGCTATGAGAGTTCCCGCCCACAGTGCCACGTCCAGGCGGAGACGGGGCCCAGGCCTGACACTCCCTGTGCTGACACCTCAGCAAACCCCTAGCTCTGGCCATGACTGGCAATGTGTCCTCAACACCCCACCCCAACCCACTGCTGATGTGGCATAGCTGGCAAAGGGTGGCCAGCCAGACCCTGCGGTGGGATGCCTGGTGGAAAGTCTCAGACCAGTGCTTACACAAATCCATACAAGTGTACGCACACATGCACAATGCCAAAGCAGGAGAGGGGGACAGGACACCAGGTGTGTCCCTCAGGTAGGTTGTCCCTTCAGCCACTCAGCCTCATTCCCTTCTAGAGAAGGAGGGAACACTGTGTCTGTCTCCTCCTCCTGCACAATCTCCCTCCTCTCTTGGGGACAGTGGCTTAGGGTTCCCCTGATTCTCCTAGCCGGAATCTAACTTTGTCCTCATTTTATCGCCCATTGGCCACCTGTAGCTTGCTTTGTTTTTACTCCAGAATTCCATTAAAAATGCTGTTTTCATTCTTTCTTCCTTTGGAGAAATACTGATGGTTATTCAGCATGTGTTAACTTGCTTGGAGCCCTGCTAAGAGCTTGCCATGCATTGGCTCATTGAATTGTCATAACTCCATGAGGAGGGTCCTGTTATTATGTGAGGCCCAGAGAGGTTGAGTAACTTGCCCTAGGTCACCCAGCTTTAGGTGGTAAGGTGGAACATGTATCCTGGGATGACTCCCATGAGCACCCGTGTTCTTATCTGCTCTGCTCATTACTCCCTACCCTCTTTCCACCCTGAAAATTGCCTTGTAGCTGCATTCATTCCAGCATGGTATAAGGAAACATAGGGAATCAGAGGGGAGGGCGAAGCAAAGTGAATGTTAAGGGCAGTGCAGGAAAATGGGCGCCACACCTGGAACTCCACACGAGACAGCACAGGCTCATCTCGGTAGGGCCACCACAGCACAAGGAGTTAGTGCCAAGGCAGGAAGTTCCATACAAGCAGGATTAGTCTGAGCAGAGAGACCTGCAGGCAGACAGAAGAGAGGTCAAGACAGTCATCCTGAACTAGCAGGAAGTTTGTGCAGCTGGGGAACTGATCAGGCTTCAGAGTCAGGAACCTCCCCTTGGCCTCCCGCTCTGCATGCACCTCCAGATAGGACCATGCAACATTGTGGCAGGTTCTTCCACAGCCAGGTCATTCAGGGGCAAGGTGACAAGTGATGAGTGGGGAAAATCAGATCCTATCATGGGTTTGAGAGTCCCTTAATAATCCCAGCGTGTACCCTAAATGGCAAGAACAGGGTTTAGGAGCCAAACTCCTATTTGGTACCCTTTCCAGGTTTCTGTAGAGGGCGCATCAGAGGCCTGAGTTCCCAGATTTTTTTGCGGGGGAGGACAAGTGACCCAGCCATCTCCAAGGTAGGCCGCTCATCCTAGTTTCAATCCAACTAAACCAAGCCAGGAGATGAGGTGGGCTAATGGTAACATGCCCATCCATCCATTAGTACCCAGCTCCCCCAACTTGGAGAGCCCAGAGGCCTCCAGGGAGTCTCTCCAAGATATGACCTGTCACTGCCTCATCCCTTCCCTCCTGCACCCCTGATTTTTCAGACTTGATAGCTTCACTGGGTCCCCCTAGGATGCTCTGCTCCCGGTATCTCTCTAGACCATTTCTAGCCAAGGCAGATGCAGGGGGGCCTACCTGGGCCACACTCTGTTCAGTCAAGCCGCCATCATCTGCCTGTAAGGAAGCAGAGTCAAAGGGTGGGGTAGAGCCAGCATGAGGGTCCTGGGTCAGGGAGGTGAAGGAAAGGGGCTTGGGGGTATGGGTGAGGTGATGCAGTGGTTAAGGTGATTCAGAGCTGCACCTGTGTGACTGGTTAGTAGAAGTCCTGCAGCCTGTCATTTGGAAGCCAGGACTTCTGGGATTGTGCTATGGTGCATGGAGGGTGAGGGAAGATGGGAAGAAAGGTTTCATCCAGACATGAGAAAGCCAAACAAGGCAGGGAGGTTCTATCCATACCCTTGACCCCCAACCTCAAGGCCAAGGCAGCCACCTGGTGCCTCTTTGAGGATGTATTTATTTCCCCAGTCTGTACTTCCTACCAGAGAAGAGGTAAGGTACTTGTGCTCCTAGCCGGGGAGAGGACAGGAAGATCTCTTCCATTAACTGGCATCCCACCCACAAACTGCTGCTCATCCCACCCCTAACAAGTGTATCAGCCCAGTCGTTGTCTTCTGCTAGAGGAGCTTGGGCTTCTACCGTCTCGCCCTTGGCAGCCCCATGTCCAGGAAGGACAGGAAGGGCAGCCTAAAAGAGGAGGTGTGCAAGAAGACTCTTACCCTAAAATTCACCTTCTGGATCACTTGCTGGGGGTCACTCTCCAGAATCACACTATGAGATGAGAGGAAAAACCAGGAGGCAAATCAGTGGCACAATCCTCCCCTCTGCCCCCTCTCCTTGCCAAGCCTCTTCCCTCTCCCAATGCATCCTGCAACACTTCCACCTTCCAGGTCCCTTCCCACTGATAGCCCTCAAGTCAGAACTCTCCCTCAGCATGGAGGGCCCTCAGCTCTGATTCTTTGATGCTTCAACCCAGTGGTCCACACGCTTTGTCATCCCTGGGCAAAATCTTCCAAACCAGATGAGAACAGTCTGGTCTAGAATGATCAGGATGTCAAAAGCAGGGACTCTCAAAACTCAGAGCTCTTGAAAGTTCACTTCACCTTCTGGGTATAGGGTTGGATTCACTGTGAAAAGACTTAGGAAGGGAGGCCCTGGGGGTTCTTATCTTGTTGCACTGTTATTTTATGGCACGGGGTCATGCCCTGCATAAAAGAAATGAAACTCCGAAAATCAGCATCTACCTTCTCCCCAACTTCCTCCTTTTTTTTTTTTTTTTTTTAACTTTAAACATGTTTAAAGTTTTGTTTTGTTTTGTTTTGCTTTGTTTTAAGGCTGGGCACGGTGGCTCATGCCTGTAATCCCAGCACTTTGGGAGGCCCAGGCAGGTGGATCACCTGAGGTCAGGAGTTCCAGACCAGCCTGGCCAACATGGCAAAACCCTCTCTCTACTAAAAATACAAAAATCAGCCAGGCATGGTGGCATACACTTGTAATCCCAGCTACTCGGGAGGGTGAGGCAGGAGAATTGCTTGAACCCGGGAGACAGAAGTTGCAGTGAGCCAAGATCGCACCACTGCACTCCAGCCTGGGCGTCAGAGTGAGACTCCATCTCAAAAAAAAAACCAAAAAACAAACAAACCAAAAAAACAGCTCTTTTTAAAAATCTTCCCTTTTAGGCGGGGCACAGTGGCTCACGCCTGCAATCCCAGCACTTTGGGAGGTTGAGGTAGGCGGATCACAAGGTCAGAAGTTTGAGACCAGCCTGGCCAATATGGTGAAACCCCGTCTCTACTAAAAATTAAAAAAAATAAAAAAATAAAAAAATTAGCCAGGCTTGGTGGCGCACGCCTGTAATCCCAGTTACTCAGGAGGCTGAGGCAGGAGAATTGCTTGAACCCGGGAGGCAGAGGTTGCAGTGAGCCGAGATTGTGCCACTGCTCTCCAGCCGGGGTGACAGAGT